AGATTGCAGAAAAATATCTGTGAATTGGCAGTGGGATATGGTGGGAATAGGCTACAAGGATGGTGAAGGATAAGGTGGGATTTGTGAGAAATCCTCGGAGTTTCTGTTTAAGTGTTAGGCAGTTGATAGGCATTTGACAGGGTTTTATTGCCATTACAAGATTAAGATAATTGCAGGAGGGAAATGTGATGGAAAAGATGAGATCTGGATGTGAAACTTATGAAAATACATTTTGAAAATTTAGGTAAATGCAATAGACTAAAGGCTCAGTTAATTTCTTCTTTTGCATAAGTGTAACCCCAAAGTAAATAAAATAATAAAGTGGAATAGCAAGCAATAAAACCTCATTCTTCTATGTTAATCTGTGTTTGTGTTCAGCTAAGTGGAATGTTAAAAAAAATAAAACAAATAACAAAAATCTAACAATAGAAACCCAGAAACCAGTGCAGTGCCAATATTTAAAGCTTTGCTATTGAATGTGTATTTTTCTGTGTATCTCAAACCGCATTACAGATATACAACTCCTTGATCTTTCATTTAAGGAAAATTTATGTACAGAAAAATTAACCCTACAAGTAACTATTCTGTTGTCTTTTTATTTTTATTATTTAATTTTAATTTTGTATGTCCTATTCTTTGAGAAACATCACCTTTTTAGAGGCATGTAGAACTAAATCTGCTTTTGCATCTTAGTTATCGACTCTAGTGTTTGTGGGTTGTTACTCATAGCCACATACCACATTCCCTTCCCTACTTCAAGAGCTCTGACTTCATTCAAGTGCATAAAGTGGATGTGTAATATCCTGGGAATATTTTGGTGATTTTTGTAAGAGAAGACCTTTTATGAGGTGGGTTTTTTTGTTTATCTTCTGTGCTTGATGGACTTGCCACTTAAATAAGGTGGAGATGTACACAGCCACTCAATTTCACCTTGTTTCCCTGAATAGGAGCAGTGTTCTAAAGGGAACTGTTCTCATGTTCTTGCAGACTCCTCTGCAGCCCTTTTCCAAGCTACTTTGACCTCTCTAAGTTCCATTTCCCTGTATCTTTACCTTGTCTCTTCCAATTTGTTGTCACCTTCTATGTACATGTCCCTTCATGGAATTTTTTCATGTTCTTCTTCATTATCCCATGCAGAAGCTTGCACAGACTTGTTTAGGGCACATGCATGTGTACAATGCCAGTAATTCATCCATGAACTAATTTTCCTTATCAAATGTGCTGTTACCCAGAATATACTGTATTGCTTGAAAAGGTCAAGTCTCTACCAGCTGCATACTGTATCGGTATTGACATTCACCCAACCTTTTGAAATGGTTAGTTATAAAATAGATTAATCATCTGCACACCTCGGGTAACTGGATCAAAACTTCCAAACTGGGGGTTCTACCAAGAAACATCTGGTCAATGTTATTCATATTTACTGCAGTGCAGAATGCTACACCCCCTCAGCTGTCTTTATACATTCAGTGTTCAGCTTTTTTTGTAACTTAAGCTTTCAAGGAAGCAGCCACCCCTCCACAGTTTGCTATTTGAATTTGGCTTCTTGCTCCTGCCTGTACCTTACCAGTTATAGCTAGGCTTCGTGAACGAAGATACGGGAAGGGCTCTACCCACGCTTGCTACAAGTGCGCTGATGGCTAAAAACGCCGATGTGGGATCGGCAAGTCCGTTTGCAAAAGGCACAGTGGAAAGTCTCCTTAGGCCGTATTGGCGAGGCACGGTTCTTTCTGCGTTGTCTTTTCTCCTCGAGACTAATTCTACGTGCGTTCTCAAAAGAGGCAGCAGCATTATGGATGGTGTGTCTCCACGTCTCCTGATTGGAGGCCAGAGTGGACCACTGATGGCAGTCAATATGGCCAAAACTGAGGTGTTGTTTCAGAGTCCTTGTATCTGCTCTCATGGGCTCCTCTGTTGCGGCAGGCGGGGGGGGGTGGGTCCTATCTTGGGCGGCAGCCGGTGGCGAGTTCCCCACAGAGCACAACCTCAGGGAGGCGGTGATCCTCCATCCTGGAGACGTGCCCTGCCCAGCACAGCTGCGTCCTCAGCAGCACGGCCTCGATACTGGTGACCCCTGCCTGTTGAAGGACAGTAACATCAGTCACGTAGTCATTCCAGTGGATGTTTAGG